TTTGGGTAATTGCTTGTGACGGGTTTTGTTTACTTTTGTGTTCGTACTTCGAAATTATTAACGATGTGAACAGGAAAAAGAATCATCAAGTCCTGTACTTCAGACCAAGGACGCTGGGCTTTGTGTAGATCCATGCGACTCAGAAGTAACAAGAGTCACATCGCTTGCTCATCATGTGCTTTGCGAAACTTGTCGTCATCGTCGGTGCCGGGTTTGAATGGTTACAACAACAACTTGATCATACTATATACGGTGTGATGTGATTTAAGGTGCTCGGTGGCCTTAAAGTGACCGTTTTTACTTACTGACATCATAGGTTTAACCCAAGCAGCACAATGCTTAGTATTAAAGTTGCAGCAACTTGATTGTGACTGAATTAAGTCACAAAAAAGATTCCAGGACCTTCATGCAACAAGTGAGCTATTAGCGATCTCAAGTCCTTTCACATTCAAGATTCGTAAGACGCTTTATTTGTTAATATGAACACGTCGTTTAAATTCAGCGTACCGTTTACCATAACGAACAATGTGGTAAACCCAACCCTTTTATCCAACAGCCCAAAGATATCGCGTGGAAGTGATTCGGATTTACTACCATTTTTACCATATTCCTACCCATTCCTACTCATTCCTTAATTGACATGCACTCGGACGTGGTCTGAGCTGGTATTTCCTATTATAAAATTTGAGATCATCAGTTTTTTTCACAGATAGAATCATCCGTTGATTATCTGTGTAACTACAGGTGATCTGGCAATAACGGCAATAATCTTGCTCATGCACTATAACCATAGAGGTAACTCTAAGACTAAGAAGGTCCCGAAATAACGTGCTCAACTTTTTGGCTCAGCTCTGGTACTCTCTTCGGTCCCAAGCTAATCGATTCACCCCTCGAAACATAGGAAAAACCAATAACCCCTCATTTTATCTGTCAAACTTTCATAGCGAATCAAAACAAACATTGGGTAGTACTAGAATTTCGACTAGAATGGGGTACGTTAATCGATTTGCTTGGGACCAATAGGCTAGTCAAGTAGTGAGCCAATTTAAAATCGATAGTTTCGTATTGATTGTTGCTATAACCTGCAAAAGGCCAGTCCAGTACGAGATCGCAATATTTATAAAGTCTGGAACGCGCAAAAATTGGTCAACTTCAAATTGGTGTAACTCTGTTAAAAATGCATAAAAAAAACCTGAAATGCTGCATTTGGAAGTTGAGTGTATATACAATGGTTTCTATTATGAGTTTTCACCGTTTGCTCTCCAGTTTTCAAAATGACGTCCAAGCAAGAGGAGCAGCGTGTCAAAAAATTGCTCGCACAGCAAGAGAATCCGACGTTGCCCACGCCAAGTTTGCAACATTTCTGGATTTGTCCAAATCGACCGTGACAAACGTTTTAAAAGTGTTCGGTGAGCGTCTGTCGACCGCCAGGAAGCCTGGAAGTGGTGGCTATCGTAACCTTTCCGCAACATTTTCACTTGGTCACACGAGCAGTCACCGTGTTCTTCCGTCAATGAGTGAAAATGTTGCGGAAAGGTTACGACAGTGGCAATCGTAATCCGGACGTGGCAGCGACGACGAAGAAGGTGGTGGTGAAATACAAGCAGTATCCTAACCTCTCCATCCGGGACGTCGCTGGCAAGCTCAATGTCTCCCATACTACTGTGCAGCGGACCAAGAAACGAGCCGGGCTGTCGACGTATAAGAAGGTGAAGGTGGCGAATCGAGATTACAAACAAAACACGTCGGCAAAGTAGCGGTCCCGAAAGCTGTATACTAATCGTCTCAAAAAGTTCGACTGTGTCGTCATGGACGACGAAACTTATGTGAAAGCGGATTTCAAGCAGCTTCCGGGACAGGAGTTTTATCATAGAGGTAACTCTAAGACTAGTAGCAACAATCAATACGAAACTAACGATTTTAAATTGGCTCACCACTTTAGTAGCCTATTGGTCCCAAGCAAACGATTAACGTACCCTATTCTAGTTGAAATTCTATTACTACAATATGTTTGTTTTGATTCGCTATGAAAGTTTGACAGATAACATCAGGGGTGTGTGGATTCATGCAGAACATGCAGGGGTGAGTGAAATAGCTTGGGACTGCTTGGGACCGTTGTTCTGGTACTGAGTGAGCCAAAAATAATAATGATTTTCTTCGGTACCCAGTGGTCTTAGAGTTACCTCTATGCTAGTAGGTCCCGAAAAATCGTGCCCAACTTTTTGGCTTAGCTCTGGTACTATCTTCGGTCCCAAGCTAATCGATTAACCCCTCGAGACATAGGAAAATCCACGAACCCCTCATTTCATCTGTCAAACTTTCATAGCCAATCAAAACAAACATAATGTAGTACTAGAATTTTGACTAGAATACGGCACGATTAAAAAAAAACGATAACGTAACTCTGTTTACAGCAAATTCGATTTTTATTTCTCTTACAGTTAAACGTAGAAAATCCGAGATCCAATCAGTCGTAAGCCAAGGAGCGGGTTTTTAATCTGACGCTACTCATTAGCTTCAGCACAGATGCCTTTCCAACAATGTTGGATACTTGTTCCCAGTCTTTCGCAAACTTTGTAACGGAATCCTCTGCCTTTACATGTTTCCGCAAATATGCTTTGGTTTGGCGAATTCATCTCCTTGAGTACGAATTGGACCTTGTTGGCTTTATATCAGGCTACCGTGTCCTTGAACTAATGGACCGAGGCCAAATCCGGCCAAGACAGTACTGAGGCGTCATGTTTGCGGATCATGGGTAACAGACGCTTGTTTAAACACTCACGCACGTAAATATCGGTTTTCATTGTATCCGTTGTGACGAACGGTTTGGAAAGCATACCACACTCACAAATGGCTTGCCAAACCATAGCCTTTCTACCGAATTTTCCGGTAAAAATCAACTTAACCGCGTTGGCTAGCCTACTACTTGACTAGCCTATTGGTCCCAAGCAAACGATTAACGTACCCGATTCTAGTCGAAATTCTAGTAATGCGCAATGTTTGTTTTGATTCGCTATGAAAGTTTGACAGATAAAATGAGGGGTTATTGGTTTTTCCTCTGTTTCGAGGGGTGAATCGATTAGCTTGGGACCGAAGAGAGTACCAGAGCTGAGCCAAAAAAGTTGAGCACGTTATTTCGGGACCTACTAGTCTTAGAGTTACCTCTATGGTAGTACCATAGAGTTAACTCTAAGACCACTGGGTCCCGAAGAAAATCATTATTATTTTTGGCTCACTCAGTACCAGAACAACGGTCCCAAGCAGTCCCAAGCTATTTCACTCACCCCTGCATGTTCTGCATGAATCCACACACCCCTGATGTTATCTGTCAAACTTTCATAGCGAATCAAAACAAACATAGTGTAGTAATAGAATTTCAACTAGAATAGGGTACGTTAATCGTTTGCTTGGGACCAATAGGCTACTAAAGTGGTGAGCCAATTTAAAATCGTTAGTTTCGTATTGATTGTTGGTAGTACCATAGAGGTAACTCAAAGACTAGAAGGTCCCGAAATAACGTGCTCAACTTTTTGGCTCAGCTCTGGTACTCTCTTCGGTTTCAAGCTATCGATTCACCTCTCGTAACATAGGAAAAAGCAATAACCCCTCATTTTATCTGTCAAGCTTTCATAGCGAATCAAAACAAACATTGCGTAGTACTAGAATTTCGACTAGAATGGGGTACGTTAATCGTTTGCTTGGGACCAATAGGCTAGTCAAGTAGTGAGCCAATTTAATATCGGTAGTTTCCACCGGTTGGTAGTACTGACCACCAGGATCAAATTTAACGTATGATTCATCGTCCATAATCACGCGCACCGATTTTTCGTACAGTAATTGGTCGTATAACTTCTGAGCCCTCGGTTTGACGGTTATTTTTCGAGGATCCCACTTTTTTAGCCACGCCTCAAACCGAAGCTTTTTTCTTGTGAGTGAAAGCTTGTACGATTTTCCGGTCCAGATTTCGGTCAACAGGGTTTGGTTAACGTCCAGATTTTTGCTTGTCCTGGAAAGTTGCTTCATGACCATACTTCCGAATCGCGCTTCGAACGGCTCCGATGCTTAAGCGAACCCCACACGGTTAGAAATATTGTCAATACTTACAAGTATTGACAATAATATTGATGATGTGAATACAGAAATATTGTCAATACCGATGTATTGACGTCAATATAGAATGTATTGACAATACGATTATTGTCAATACAAACAGTCGTGTAGGGTTCACTTTACACCTTCCAATTTTGCTAATTGACTCAAAGTACAGAGAGTAGTGATGATAGTAGGGGACAATGGTATACAACGCACCCCCTGGGAAGAACGTACCAGCTGACTTTCATTTGTGTTTTTCATGGCTTTTACGAAACTGTTTTGTTGTCTTATCAAGCAGCACTTCTAGCATAGCATCTGAAATCAAAATCCTGAATGATAAATCCTAGAATTGGATTCAAAATTACAAGAAAATCTCAAAAAAAAAATGAAAAAGTGCGTCCTACCCCGGGAGTGCGTTATGTACCGTTCTCCCCTACACCATTTGTGCACGATCTGTTTGCGCTTTTCCGGAGAAATGCTTCGCATGGTCACGGAAATGTAAAATAAATTGCGATACACGAAACTGTTGGTCGAAATGTAAACAATCAGCTGCTAATCAGCTGTTTAAACGTCACCTGAAACAAGCAGGGGTGTTCCAAAGTCGTGCTTAGACATTCTGGGACACCCTATATATTTTTAAGAACGCAATTCTATAACTCATTGGTTCCTTCAATATTGAGTTGTGGAGAGTTCACTGTATTTAAGGTGGCATTTCTTAACATTGCGGTGGAAAATTGCAAATAAATCAATTCAGGACCAATTTTACACTTTGAATAGTGTATTCTTTATATTTTCAAGAATCATGAGCATTTCGCTTCGTCGGACTAAAACGTAAGAATTAACCAACCAAAATTGTAAACTATATATACACAAGTGGGACAATTACATTCCCTCACGACTGTCTCCGCTTACAGCAAATAGTTGGCCGCCAGTGGGGCAGGGTACGCCAGATGGGCAGCATACGGAGCAGCGGCATAGGCCAGAGGACCAGCTGCAGTGTAGGCAGCGTACGCTGGGTTGATGACCTGCGAGCTGTGCGAAGTGACAACGGCGGAATCTCCCACGTTAGCATATCCAGCGGTGTAGGCAACGGCCGGAGCAGAGTAGGCAACTGGAGCACCCAGGAATCCTGGCCTGGCAGAGACGCTAGCGATGGCCAGGGCGGCAACGAAGAACTGAAAGGAAATACTTTTTGAAGCTATTCTGAGAAAACTAAGAACGTACATACCACTTTAGCAAACATTTTGATTAGGATTGTTGGGGGTAATTTGGCTTGAGCTATAAGCGAGTAACTGACGTCTGCCGAATGGGCATGGATCGTTTTTATACCAAAATCACAATATTTTACTTCGATTTCGTTCGTTCTGCTTATCACCTTCTCCCGGCTAAGGAGAGTACGTGATTGTTGTACCAATTGCTTGCACGGCGCACGGTTTGCTCGGTTGTATATTACAAGTTAGATACTGTTACTCAGCTGTCTACCGAAAGTGAAGGTGGATAAATTTACAAGTCCGAAGGCGGTCACTTGAATCCAAAGGCTGGTTGGTTGGCACGCGACAGTGTTTTATTTTTGATCGATTTATGCTAACCTTAACTGGAAATTGTCATTCGTCACTTATTGGGGCGGGATTTACAGCTTTGACCTTCAGTGTGAAAAGACTGGATGGTTACTAGGGTGGTTCAAATGATAAATGTTGCTCCATCCAGCTTAGGTCGGATTTGTTGTTATGGATTCAGCTGTAGAACTCCCTTCATTTATTTAGTTATTCGGAGGGAATAGCTCACACATCATGTCCGTATCAACAGATAACATTGAATCCTACGGATACATTTGCTTAAGGGGAGGTTTACATGGATTTTTTCAAAAAAATTGATTTTTTTTGCATAAAATGAAAGCTACAAGTGTGTAGAATATGTGGCTAAAAGGATTTTACGATCCGAAACATATTTAGCGAGCTATGGCGCTTTGAGTGAACCTTTGTCATGCGCGCTGAGGGACGCTACAAAAACTTTAAACGCGTTTTTCTCGAAACCATATTTTTTATAACAACTTAGAGCATAGGGCTTGAACAAATGATCCGATTTACAATCGGAAAATTGCGCTTTGAAGGATACTATTTTTTGTATGACTTATACCTAAAATGAAAAAAAAATGTTAGTTACTATTTTTTAAGCAAGGTCAAAGTGAGAAAAAAAGCACTAAATTTTCAAATGTTCATAATTTGGTCAATTTTTGTCGGATTTTGTTCTAGTTAGGTATAAGCTATAGGGAATATTATCAACTTTAACCACAATAAAAAAAAATTCATTTCAGTTCACCACCAGAGGGTGTGCACTCGAAGTTCTGCAGCAAAACCTGACTGACACTCCTCCACGCGAGCCGCCATTTTGAGCCGCCATTTTGTTTTTTTACCTTCAAAAAATTTCCAAGTAGTCAGTAATAGTGGACAAATATAATTATCGAAACCGGAAGTTCGTATGTCTTTTCATTCTCCTGAAAAAAAAATTCCAAAGTTCAACTGTTTTTCAGCCAAATCCAAGTAAACCTTCCCTTAAACAAAGTCGTAAACATATAAAACGATATTAATAATAAAATAATAACTTTATTTTAATACCGTGTCGATTCAAATTTCGGACACTTAAACTCGAATTTCGGACACTTTTAAAAGTTGATTATCTCGGTCGAATATGATCCACATGTCTTGTAAATTTTAAATTTTTTTTGACTAGTGCCCTCCACGATCATCTAACATTATTACTTTGTTTCTAACTGGATGTAATATTTAATTAAAAATGAAAGTGTCCGAAATTTGAATCGTCCGAAATTTGAATCGGAACGGTACACAAAACAGAAACCGTTAGGAAGGTACAAGTGCATTATAAAATCAAATTCTTAAGCGGAAGATATTAAAATCAAAGCAATGTTTTATTATTTTTCCTTGAAAATCTAGACTTTTTTACACAACATGTAAAAAAACCTATGATGTGTTTTTTTTTATTTTTTTTTGAGTTATATTTTTTTTTTAAGTTAACAAGTTTTGGGTTTTCACTCAAAACTTCTATGCAACTAAACGTCTAAACTTTATTTTTAAAGGATCAACAGAGACTCAAAGGAGATTTGATCCAAAGATATATATTCGAAAAGCCTCGAAAAGCCCATATGAAACTAAAAACAGCATATGCGAGGCACAATAAAATCTTAAATCATATTGAATAATTGTTCTTGAAGTTCTACATACGATATTCCAGCACGGAAACCTGCCTGCTGCCACCATAGAGTCATTTTATTTAAGTAGTCTGATTCTGAATCCAATTCAGGATACAGTTGAACAGAACTATAAGAAAAACGCTCTACGGATTCGTATGATAAATATGTAAATCATACCCCCAAGCTTCCCTGATCCTATCCTTCGACAATATACCCCTATAACCTTGCATAAGCTGCGAGTATTCGGCCCAACTCCTACTAGACAGAGTAATAAGTGAATTTTGTAACAAATAATAAATAATGAACTCCGAGATGATTTGAAAATCAAAGATATTTCTTTGATATAAATTCATATCTTACATGATGTGATGAGGTCCCAGAGGAGTTTCATGGACTCGTATAATACATCTGGATAAAATAGATAGAACATCAAGATCCAAACTTCTGCATAACCTACAAATTTCAAAATACTTTGACATTAGAACTTCATATCTAGAGACATCTACGGATACAACCGCTCGTTGAATCTGTACAACATCGAGATCTGAACTAGAGGTCAATTTGGAGAATGGCATATATATTGTTAATACAACTTAATACAACTTCTTATCTCAATTAAAATGAGCTTCTTGAATTCGTATAATAAATCTGGACATCATACAAGACTTTGTTGGAGATTCCAAAATATGTTGTCATAACAACTGCATACTCCGCATGATAATATTAGGCTCCACGCAGAATTTGGGTTCACAAATTTAGTCGCTACATCGTACAATACCTAGTTGTATCTGTAGAACGTCAAGATCTGAACTCCAGGACAATTCGGAGAATGGAATATATTTTGTTAATACAACTTCTTATCTCACTTTATGTGATCGGATCCCATAGAGCTGCCTGGATTCGTATAATAAACAACAACTACACGTACAACGTACTATACGTACAACGTACTATACGTACAACGTACTATACGTACAACGTACTATACGTACAACGTACTATACGTACAACGTACTATACGTACAACGTACTATACGTACAACTACACCCAACCAGGGGATGTAAGATTCGCTTACAATTATGTGGGATTCATCATCAGAGGATGTTAGTGGAGACCGCATGAACCGAGGATGTGATATACCTAGCTGCGGTCCAATGCAAGACAATTGGAGACCGACAATGTAGAGTGTATTAGTGAGGTAAATTAGTTATGTCGAAAAAAACACGAAACAGATTGCCGACTGGACTCGAACCACGAACGTTGCGATTATCAGACCTGTGCTTTCTTCACTGCTCTCTCCATGCTTCCGAATACGAATAGTCTAAAAGCAAACATGAAGCGCTCATTTTCTAGCATACTCGACTTTGTATGCTTTTTCAGCTGGAGAGATTCGAGGCAAGTGTGTGTGTCGCTCTACAATGTTCTACAATGTGTGTCGTTCCACAAGCTTACTGGTATAGTCGAAAGCGTAGATAGAACACGAAATAAAAAAAGACAAAAAACCATTACATCGCCCGCATGGTCAATTTCTAACATTCGTTGCGATGTACATGAACAGAGGATGATAGGAAGTGGAACTAACATTCATTGTAATAAATTTTTGGTTTGCGTGTACATATCCTATATTATGGGGCTCAATATCTGAACTCCAGGAAAATTTGGAGAAAGTAACATATTGTAGAAAACTACTTCTTATCTCACTGAGCCCCATGGATTCATATAATAAATCTGAACATCATACTAAACTTTGTTGAGCGTGTAGATCAGCAAGACCCAATCCTCAGGATAACTTGGGGACCCTGGAATATGTTGCCATTACACACACATATCCCGCATGATATTGTGGACTCCACGAAGCATTTTGGGCTTACACATTTAGTCGAGACATCGTACAATACCTCGTTGAACCTACAGCGCATTGAGATCTGAACTCCACGTCAATTTGGAGAATGGAACATATTTTGTAAACACCGTTATATCAAAAATCAATACGAAACTAACGATTTTAAATTGGCTCACTACTTGACCTAGCCTATTGGTCCCAAGCAAACGATTAACGTATCCCATTCTAGTCGAAATTCTAGTACTACGCAATGTTTGTTTTGATTCGCTATGAAAGTTTGACAGATAACATGAGGGGTTATTGGTTTTTCTTATGTTTATCGATTAGCTTGGGACCGAAGAGAGTACCAGAGCTGAGCCAAAAAGTTGGGCACGTTATTTCGGGACCTTCTAGTCTTAGAGTTACCTCTATGGTTACATGCTTCACATGATGTTACGGGGCTCTATGATGCGGGATAGGTTTAACATATATGTTAATTCATCCTACAATACACCATTGGGCCTGTAGAACGTCAAGAGCTAAACTTCAGAATGATTTGTAGGACCAGATACATTTGGTCAACTATGTATCCTACATAATACTATCGGGCTTAATAAAGCTCTATCTACGGAATAAAAATTCTATCGGGACATTGCATACTACTTTAGGACATCGTATAATACTTTGTTGGAACTGTAGATCTTCAAGATCGAATCGCCAAGACTATTTGGATTACCTCTTATCCTGTTATAAGGTGTTCCAGAAAGTATAAGCACACTTTCAACTCGCCGTCATTTCTACCCCGATGAAGTTAATCAACTGTTCATCGATGTGTTTTGTTGTTTACTTATTGCTCAAGAAGTTATGTGCACAAAGTGCATTTAAGTTTTTACAAAGTCATCAAAATGCGAGGCATGTTCCCGGAAAAGCGCAAACAGTTCGTGCACTATTCCCAACCTATCAGTAAAGAAGTTGGCGAAAATGGAGGAAGTAAGTATCGGAGCTGTCCGAACCGCCATCTGGAAGTTCGGTGAAGAAGTCACCTTCGAGGACCCAGTACTATTTTGGCGTGAATGCACTGCTCGAAAGACACGGTAGCTTGGTGCAAAGCAAACAATATGCAATACGTGCCAAAAGAGATGATTTGTACGACACTTTTTGGGTTCTTTCGAAGGGATATTTAAGGCAGCGAATTCAATCGAAGAATTTGAA